TGCCCGAACAGTCGCTATGCGAACGCCGCGGTGTCATTATGACTAGTCAAGATCTTCCAAGGGCATGACTGGCATGATGTCGAGATTACGCTTTGAAAGACGTGCAATTTCCACTGCTTTCTTGATACATTTATTTATATATAGACACGTGTTATGTAGATACGTATGTATCTGGAGTGAAATGTCAAAGTGTTGGGTATGTCTAACAGTAAGATATACAAAGGATCTCATATCGTGCAGGAAAATCGTGAAATTGATAACTTTTCGCATTTTGTTGGGTATATGTCTCGCTGCGTCGAATTTTCAGGGGGACCGGGTAACCGAAATGGTACACAAGGTCGCATTGCCCTTTAATTTTCGTCCCAACATTGGGATTGCAATTCAGACAACTAGTCATTATTGAATATCACAACCTTACACTTACTTGTTATATATATATAATATATATATATATATATTATATATATGTATGTATACTATATACATATGTATGTATATGTAAATATATATATATATATATATATATATAATATATATATATATATATATGCATGCAGAGAGAGAGAGAGAGAGAGAGAGAGAGAGAGAGAGAGAGAGAGAGAGAGAGAGAGAGAGGAGAGGGAGGGAGAGGAACAGAGGGAGAGATTATGAGAAACCAAGAGAAAAAGAAAGAAAAGAGATAGTGAAGGAGAAATATGTAGAGTGGTAGGGAGAGGCATATACACGAGTTTGATACACACACACTCACACACACACAAATACACACATACACACTCACACACACACACAATTTATATATATATATATATATATATATATATATATATATGTGTGTGTGTGTGTGTGTGTGTGTGTGTGTGTGTGTGTGTGTTGTATATATGTATGTATGTATATATATATATATTTTTTTTTCTGCGTGCACACGCTCCCTCAAACAGACACACATACGGATATTCATGTCTGTACATTTGTGTGTCTTTTGCAATACCGTCATTATTGATAGGATTGTGGATGGTTCAGTGACTATATTGCATATATCAACAAAAGAAAAATAGTTATGATTTTCTTAGCTAACACATAAAAGTACACAAATACACTTGCTGCACACAACCGGTAGGTGTATAAGCAACCGTGCAAGTGCTGTACTTATGTTATACCTTGAAAAAAAACGGAAAACAAAAACAAGGGCAGACTGACGTATAATTTTTTTTTATAAACACATGTATATGCACACGCTTTGACTGCCTCTTATCAGAATTATTAGATTTCTTGATTTATATTGATATGTGCATCATCCATTATTTTTTCTACCTGACACATTATTTAATTTGATATTTTGATATTCTACCAACAGGTGCGCTAATATCGAAAACAATGGCCGAGTTTTTTTAGGTGCGCTAATATCGAAAACAATGGCCGAGTTTTTTTGTAATGTAAGGACGATTGGGCGCCAAAGCATGCACCAGTAATACCATTGCACCATTTGCTAGAAAAATTTTGGATTTCTTTCTTCATCTTCTATTTTTGCTTCTGCTGTTGCTCTCGTTCTACTGTTCCTGTCTATGTTTGTCTCTCTCTCTCTCTCTCTCTTCTCTCTCTCCTCTCTCTCTCTCTCTCTCTCTCTCTCTCTCTCTCTCTCTCTCTCTCTCTCTCTCTCTCTCTCTCTCTCTTCTTGTACCCTGTGCCCTTTATCCTCAACTCTGCCATCTACCTCTTTTCTTCTCTCCCACTACCCTTTGTCTTCTTTCTTGATTAGTGATGTAAGGACGACTGGGCACCAGAAGCATGCACCAGTAACACCATTGCACCATTTGCTACAAAACCTTGAATTTTATTCTTCATCTTCACTCTGTCTTTTGCTGTTGCTCTCGTTCTTCTGTTTTCTCTCTCTCTCTCTCTCTCTCTCTCTCTCTCTCTCTCTCCTCTCTCTCTCTTCTCTCTCTCTCTCTCTCTCTCTCTCTCTCTCCTCTCTCCTCTCTCCTCTCTCCTCCTCTCCCCCTCCCCCCCTCCTCCTCCCCTCCCCCTCCCCCCTCCCCCCCTCCTCCTCCCTCCTCCCTACCCCTTCCCCTTCCCTCCATCCATCCGTCTCCCCCACCTCCCCCTCCCTCTCCCTCCCTCTCCCCCTCCTTCTACCTCTACCTCTACTCTGTGCCTTGTACCCTGTGCCCTTTCTCCTCTACCCTTTGTCTTCTCTCCATCTCCTTCCCCTCCACCCTCTCCTTTGCTCCCTCCCTTCCAACCACAGAAACTCTCCACCCAAACCGACCACAACTCTCATGACATAGCCATAAAGCCACCTCAACATCCGTCCATGAAGAGCAACTGTCATACTGATCACTCGCATAGAAAAAAATCGTTCGCATAGAAAAAAAATCCAGGTAAATTAAACCATGACTGTAACCCCCCTACCATTCGTTCTTATAAGTCCTTGGCGTTCGCGCATTCACGGGTCCCGAATCCGTGTGAATCCCGTTCCTCCCAAAAAGCCGAGATTGTTGTGCTCGGTGTCAACATGTCTCTCGCAGTGTAGTGTACGCTGCTGTCGGTGAGGTGTCTATAGAGCAAGTCGTGGCAGGTGTTTCTTCTTTACAGCTGTGCTCATGGAGGGCGTTCGACATAGGAAGGTAATAGATGAGTGGGTTTAGGGCTTTCGGTGGCGAATTGGTAGGGTTTTAGGGTGAAATAAGTGAAAATGTTTCGCAGGCTTTTGAGTGATGGTTGGTGGATTTTTTTTTCTCTCTTTTGAGGGAGATTCTTTCGAATTTTTTAAATGGATTTCTCCCCTCTCATTCGATCAAATTGCTTGTGGATTTGTAAATATCTTCCATTTATATCAACGAATTTAAATGAAAACAAAATCGTTATTAGTGTATCTGTACTTGAAGTATGTTTTAGATGAAATATTCCAGGTACTTCCTGCTGCCGGTATATGATTGTGGTAATTACACACGATTTCAGGTCCAGTAGAGTAGCTGTATATCTATCAGATGGTATAATTATACACCAATCATATTTGATGATATAATGAATTACCTGGGGAATCTCAATAACAATCGGGCAGTGAATTTTAAAGACGGAGTTTTACTATTTTTGTCATTGTGATAATGGCTGTTTTTCATCTAAAGTCATAACTTGCATCATCAACCAGAATAGGACTGCATAGGAAAGTGTCATGGCCCCCTTGCTCTTTGCTCCAGCAAAGTCAAGCAAAACTACAGTATGTTTTCACATAAGATGGAGCTTAGACTGGTTGCTGATTTAATAGTAAATCACTAGGGAGGTCAACAAGCTCTATTATGTCAGAATATATATGACTGAACTTTGTTGACCACTGTCCAAGCATGCAGACCATAGTATCATTTGGTGTGCAGGTCTCTATACATTGGTAAGGAGATTGTGGGCCTACCTTTGATTTACTTAAAAAAAAAAAAAAAAAAATTGTACATATTAGTTTAATCTCGTATACTCTATATGACCGTTACATTGTTTTTTTCACTCTGTTCATGATTCGTTATGGGATAATTACCAAGACTGTGATATGTGTTGGAAAGCTTACAGCCTTAGTCTAAGTCAGTTATGACTCACTGACAGGCAATCACAATGGCCTGCATTCACTTGGCATGCAGGCAGAGGCTATCTAGCCTTCATTATGTATATTCTGGCTAGATTGAGTTTGGGCTAGTTCATGCTTATTAGTTCTGTCATGCAAGAATATGATTTACCTTACAGGATTTATTGATTTATTGTATGCCAATATATAGGTTATCACAAGATTTATTTATGTATTATATACCAATATATAAGTTATCACTTCATCAGAATTATTGAATTATCTGTTTCATTATATAAATCCATGTATTGAGAATGATTCATTATATGCTAATTTTAGATATGTTTACTGTGTAATGTCTATCCTCTTACCAGACAATTTATCAGTAAATGGGTATCTCATGGTATATCTTGTGCTGAATTTACTCACATGATGTACAGAGTCTTTCAATTAATTTTGTTTATTTTACATTTATGCTTTGCTGTATACATTTGTTCAGCAGATAATGGGGGTTGTTTGCAATATTTGTTTCTTTTCTGTATGCATACTCCACATAAATTCAGTCTAGTTGCCTGTCTATGGATGTATCTCTATTGTGTTAGCCATCTTTCTTATATGTCTGTATTGTTCTATATGCATTCTTTCCTTTATTGTAATCAGAATCCTCAAAATCAGTCAGAAACCTCCGAATCCAGTTCTTTTGCCAATTGATCTGTCACTTCATCCAAATTGTTATATTCTTTATAGATGTCTAAATAGTTTTTGACGTCAGAGAAACTTTCCACACAGAACAGTGGAAGTGGGAGATGGTGGAGATACAGACACCTGTGCTGCAATTATAGGGGATAGGGATTAGTTGGTTATAGTCACATTACATATCTTCATGTTAAGAAAAAGAGACATTTATGGTGTATGTTTTAAAAGAGTGAAATGGATTATTATATATTTTTTAAGAGAGTGTGAGTAAAAAATATGAAAAAAAAATATAGATGCCACTATTTGTCAGTTGCATGTTGATTTTGTGAGAAGTGTACAGGAAGATAGTATCAAAGTGGAAACATTGGTACAGGTGTTGTCTGGCCACGTTGAATGATAGGAACACCTGTGCACGTAGAAGGGGACCTGGTGGTCATCAGGCTGCCAGTCCTCACAGAACAGCTGATGTAAGAGGACACTCAGGATTTTAACTGAGATTTTACATCAGCGTGGAAGTTATCACAGATACATAGCTGTATTTTCTATTAGTGTTTGTATATATTTTAGAATTGGAATTGAAAAGTTCTATTCAAAATTTAGGATTAGGTTGGTGAACTTGTCACTAATGAGGGCCTGAAAGTGATAAAATACTGATAAAAATTTTTAGTGATATTTTACGATCAAGTCTGAAAACTGATTTGAAATGATGATGGAGGAAAACCCTGCCCCAGTAACGCTAAGGTCTCGTAATGTTGCGGCAAGATTCTTTACCAGGCCAGGCCCTGCAATCCCAAACCAAGCAGAAAAACATTGTATGGTTGATGTTGAAATGGTAATGTTGATTTAGATATTGCTGTTTGTGATATAAGATGACTTATTGAAAATGAACATATAAAAATATGAGTAAATGAGAATAAAAATGGAGGAAAGTAGAGGAGGAGGAGATGAATAATTGAGAATAAGAGAGAAGGAAGAGATTACTAATACAAGTAAGAGAAAAGGAGAGGTTTTTAAGTGAGAGTAGGAGAGAAGAAAGAGGTTTTTGAGTGAGAGTAAGATTGAAGGAAGAGGTTTTTAAGAGTAAGAGAGAAGGAAGACCTTTTTAAGTGAGTAATAGTGCAGAAAGAGGGTTTAAGTGAGAGTAGGAGAGAAGAAAGAATTTTAAATAAGAGTAAGAGAGAAGATTTTTTTATGGGAGAGTAAGAGAGAAAGAGTAGGTTTTTAAGTAAGAGAAAAGGAATAGTTTTTTCAGGGAGAGTAGGAGAGCAGGAAGAGGTTTTTAAGAGAGAAGGAAGAGATGACTAAATGAGAATAGGAGAGAAGGGAACATAGAGGACCTGACAGTAACAGAGAAAGAAAGAGGTGACTAACTGAGGATAAGAGACAGGTAAGAAAGGAAAAAATGACTGTGAGAAAGAGAAAGAGAGGAAAAGAAGTGATGAGTGTGTAACTGAATTGTGTGTCTTGAAGTTGATTCAGTAACTAACTCATTTAACTGCTTGATTGCTCATTCACTTGTTGACATACACCCTGTCACCCACAATCACTCACTAATGTATACTCGCTCACTTATTAGGTAATGAAGGAAAGAGAGTAAATGAATAAATGAGAATGAGTAAAATAGATGATAATTATTTATGAGGTTCATGAGAAATAGGAAGAAGGGAAAGAGGAGAGAAATCTGAAGGAGAAAGATATGTAAAAAGGAGTGAGATATGTGTGTCAAATTATGATGATTATGAGAATATAAAGGGAGAGAAAAATGGAAGATAAATGAAAGGAAGAGAGATGTTTGGAAAAAGATATGAAGGAGAATAAAGAAGAAGAAAAAACATGAGATAAGGGAGAGCTAGAGAAAAGATGTGTGTGTGTGTGTGTGTGTGTGTGTGTGTGTGTGTGTGTGTGTGTGTGTTTTTTTTAGAGAGACACAGTGAGAGTGAGTATAAATGTGAGGATAAGAGAGTAACTGATTGTGAAGGAGTAAGAGATGAAAGAAAGAGGTAGGTGTGGATGAGAGAGGTGTAGATGAATGTGTAAGGGATAGGAGTGAGAGAGAGAACGAGAGCAAGAGAGAGTGGAGTTGGGGGGGGGGGAGACAAGGGAGCGAGCATTGGATTTTTGTTTATTAATATGCAGAGCTGAGCCTTGCCTACATTTAGTTAAAATGGAGATCAGAAAAAAACACAGGCCAGACTAAAGTAATTTGATTACTGCTTGTGTTGTGCATCTGTCTGCATTAACACAAAAGCAAATTATTAAATGTAATTTTTTCCTCCATTTTTGTTTCTCATCATCATCAATGTCATTGTCACTGCATTGTCATGGCTGTCGTTCTCATTGCTATCATCATTTTTGGTTTCACTTGGTTACATACCTCCTTTAAAGGATAACTTGTTTTATTTCTCTCTCTCTCTCTCTCATCATCATCATCATCATTATTATCATTGTTGTTGTTGATTATTGTTATTATCATAGTCCTTATCATTATTATTATCATCATTATTCTTTTCTATTATCTTTATCATAATGATAATTGTTATTTTTATTATTGTTGTTATTTTTTTGTAATTTTTATTATGATCATGATAGTAATTGTAGTGATTGTAATAATGATAATAGTAATGATGGTAATGATGATGATGTATAGTAATATGATAATAACAATTGTAAAGATGATAATGATAATAATGATATTGTTATCATCATCATTATTATTGTTGTTATTGTTATAGTATTGTTATCAGTATTGTTATCAATATCACTTATTGTTATCATTGTTAATGTGATAATATTATTATTATTGTTATTAATAAGGATTTTATTATTAGGTATAGATATTTTTTGTAGATATTTTTATTGTTATTATAGTTATTGATGCTATTATTATTATTATTGTTAATGTTATTATTACTAATTATGTATTATTATTATTATTGTTGTTGTTGTTTTTATTAATGTTATTATTGTGTTGTTATATTATTATTTATATTATTATATTATTATTATTATTATGTTATTGTTATTGTTATTTATCAGTAATAGTAGAAGTATTAGTATCATTATCATTACAATTTTTTATATCATTGTTTCTATTTGTATATTGTTGTTTCAGTTCTTATTATTATCATAGGCAGAATTATCATTGTCATTATCATTATAATTATTGTCCTTACTATTATTGTTGTATTGTCATCAACATAATCATAAGTAGCAGCATCAGCATCAAAAACATCATGGGCGTTATTAATCATCATCGTATTATTATTGTTATTTGCGTTGCATTTCTGTTTGTCATGGTAATTATCATATTCATAATCAACAATATTTTTTTCTAAAATATTGCTAACAAAATCATCTCATTTTGAATACTTCTGTAAG